GGGCTCAGGCCGGGAGACGGAGCCCCCGGGCCCAAGGTCACTCAGCTGGTAAGCGGGGCGCCCAGCCTGGAGCCCGCCCGCCGCGCTGCACCCCGTGCGGAGGGGATGTGCTGCCAGGGTTCCCGGCGGGGCGACCGCTACCCCGCTCCGCGACCTGGGGCTGCACTCCCGGGCCTTGGTGTCTCCGCCTGTGAAGCGGAGGCCACGCCAGCGCTGCCGCCTCGGTGGGCGTGCCGGAGCCCTGGGCAGGTGATGCCTGTGCAGGTGCTGTGTAGATGACACCGCGCTGACAACACTGAAGGATTCCAAGGAGTGGAAGGCAGCAGAGGGGCGGGGTGGGGAGACCCCCAGAGGGGTGAACATGAGTCGGCTGCCCAAGCCTGGGCCCCTTGGATGGGGGAGTAGATGAGCAGCCTCTTTCGCCTTTGGAGAAAGCCTCACCCCCTTTTCTGGGCCGCCCCTCAGGGTCTCCGTCACCCAACTCCATGCTTCGGGTCCTGCTCTCTGCCCAGGCCTGCACCGCCCGGCTGTCCAGCCTGCTGCTGCTCCCTCCAGTACAGCCCTGCTGTCTGGGGCCCAGCAAGAGGGGGGACCGGCCCCCTGGAGGAGGCCCCCACGCGGGCCCTGTGCAGGGGCTGCAGCGGCTGCTGGAACAGGCGAGGAGCCCTGGGGAGCTGCTGCGGTGGCTGGGCCAGAACCCCACCAAGGTGCGCGCCCACCACTACCCCGTGGCACTTCATCGTCTGGGCCAGCTCTTGGGGTCGCAGCCACGGCCCCCTCCTGTGGAGCAGGCCACCCTGCAGGACTTGAGTCAGCTCATCATCCGAAACTGCCCTTCCTTTGACATTCACACCATCCATGTGTGTCTGCACCTTGCAGTCTTACTTGGTGAGGAGGGGGCCTGGGGCGGGTGTTAAATGGAAGAGTAGAGAGAGGATTGAGGTCACTGGCAGAACTCAGTGCTCAGGCCTTGCGGGGTGGCCCCGCCCCCAGCCTGCTAGCTGCCGCTGCCCCCGCCCTGGGCCCCCACCATAAGCCCAGCCTTTCCGTCAGCTTGGTGGGGGACAACCCCAAATTCCTTTTAACGTGGTGCTCTAGGAAGCCAGCACGATGCCACCCTTACGCGAGATGAGGACTCCCTGGCCAGGTCTAAGGCCTCCCCAGACTGCTCCCTCCCTCCCTCCACGCTAGTTCCCATGTCCGCAGCGCTGCCGCTTACACTGTAGCCAGCCTTCCGGCCCAGACAGCGGACAGGAGGAAGCTCGGGCATTCGCCCCTAAACCCTGGGAGGGCAGAGCAGCTCCGTCTGGGACTGCCCTCTGCCCCCAGGCTTCCCAGCAGATGGGCCCCTGGTTCGTGCCCTGGAGCAGGAGCGAAGGTGCCACCTCCCTCCGAAGCCGCCTGCCCCTCCAAAGCCTGCCCTGTGCGGTGGACACAGGTTGGAAGCGGCTCTGAGCTGCCCCCGTTTCCTGCGGCATCCAAGGCAGCATCTCATCCGCAGCCTGGCAGGTGCTGGAGGGTGCAGGAGGCGGGGTGGCTGTGGGCGCGGGTGCGGTCACCTGGACGTGGCCCAAGTGCCCAGTGTGACGGGCTGTTCTCCGCAGAGGCCAGGCCCGAGGAGCTGACGCCCCACGCCATGGTGCTCCTGGCCCAGCACCTGGCCCGGCACCGGTTGCGGGAGCCCCAGCTCCTGGAAACCATTGCTCACTTCCTGGTAGCCCAGGAAGCCCAGCTCAGCAGCAAGGTGGGACTGCGCCCGCCCTCCCGTCAGCCTCAGCCAGCCCCAGGCGTGGCCCCTGCCCGGCCTGTTTGGCCGCCTCCTGATGGTGGCACGCCGCCCTGCCACCCCCTCCCCCGCTGCCATGCCCAGCAGACACCTGGCTGGGCACACAGCGCCCTCCGCTGCGCACAGCCAAGTCACTGGTGACTAACCACGCCCGAGGCTAAGACACTGCTTGGGGCTTCGGCTGAGCCGGGTAGAGGCCTCACCCAGCCCTGGCCTGCGGGCACGCCCCTCGGGGCTGCAGTGGAGGAGCCCAGCTGACGGCTGCTCTCCCCACAGGTGGTGCAGAAGTTGGTTCTGCCCTTCGGGCGGCTGAACTACCTGCCCCTGGAACAGCAGTTCTCGCCCTGCCTTGAGAGGGTCCTGGCGCGGGAGGCGGGGCTGGCCCCGCTGGCCACTGTCAACATCTTGATGTCGCTGTGCCAGCTGCGCTGCCTACCCTTCCGAGCCCTGCACTTTGTCTTCTCCCCGGGCTTCATCAGCCACGTCAGTGGTAGGCAGCCCGGAGGGCCAGGGCGGGCGGGGGCCGCAGCCGGCGGCCTCAGCCCCGCTTCCTGCAGGCACCCCCCACGCCCTGATCGTGCGGCGCTACCTCTCCCTGCTGGACACGGCCGTGGAGCTGGAGCTCCCGGATTACCGGGGTCCCCGCCTCCCCCAAAGGCAGCAAGTGCCCATCTTCCCCCAGCCTCTCATCACCGACCGTGCCCGCTGCAAGTACAGGTGGATGGGGCCGCGGGGTGCGGGCGGCAGACTAGCAAAGCCTCAGCCTCGTGAAAGGAAACCTGGCCGTGAGCCGGCCCGGCCGGGGGCTGAGCGGGGCGCCCGCCACGTCTGGCACTACCCTGCCCCTCTCCCCTCAGTCACAAGGACATTGTAGCCGAGGGGCTGCGCCAGCTGCTGGGGGAGGAGAAGTACCGCCAGGACCTGACTGTGCCCCCAGGCTACTGCACAGGTGAGCCCCGGGCGGCTGGCCGGGCGGCTGGCCCCGCGGAGCCTGGCCGCAAGCCGGTGGCCCTCTCTCCCCTCCAGACTTCCTGCTGTGTGTCAGCAGCTCGGGCGCCGTGCTCCCCGTGAGGACCCAGGACCCCTTCCTGCCCTACCCCCCCAGGTCCTGCCCCCGGGGCCCGGACGCCTCTCAGCCCACCACCGGGGACCCCGCGCAGAGGTAAGGGGGGGGCGGGGCCGCCCGGCCTGGGCCAGCCCTGAGCCCTGTCCACCTCTCCAGGGTGGTGCTGATGCTGCGGGAGCGCTGGCACTTCTGCCGCGATGGCCGGGTGCTGCTGGGCTCCCGGGCCCTGCGCGAGCGTCACCTGCGCCTCCTGGGCTACCAGCTGCTGCCGGTGAGCCGCC